ACTCCTTCAGTTCTTGTTGGCTTCTCCTTCTCTTGGAATATACTGGCTTTCCTTTCTTCCCACACTGTCCTAAGCAAAGCTGCTCTTGCAACCCTCCACATTATACTTCCTCTTCGTTGGTGCCAAGCAAAGGTAGATGGGTCAAAAAACATGCTTACTTCTTTTGGCCTATTCCACCTGTACCCAAAAATCAAGAAGAGCTAATCTCACAACTCTGTAGTAACAGTATAGGAAATTAGTAAATGGTAACAGTCCTTACCATGAGACCTGGAAAGAGTACACCAACTAGGTGAGATGCAAAGATAAGGTTTTCTCTTTTGTAGATTAATTATCCAAGGTGTTTACTTTTCCATAAAACAGTTCCCAACAGAATGCCAAGACCTTAGGGGGAACAGGCCTACACCAAAGCTAAAGGGGAAAGGCTGTAAAGACACAGGATGACAAAGGGCATTAAAGAAAGAAGCACAAGAGAAATGGCCTTTGGGCATAGGTATCCAAATCCTTTTATCATGCTCCGTGGGATCCAAATAAACTTTTCAAGAGGACTTTTTTTTTTTTTATCAATAACAGAATTTCATTAGAAATATTAAAAAATACAAGATATGGAAGTAAACTATATTAACTCTCCACAAACAATACTGTTACAGTTGAGGCCAAAACAACTGGTTCCTCCCCACCCTTGTTTTGCTAAAACATCAACAAAACCATTTGCTGCACTTTTAACCTAGCTGAACTGCATTTACATATTTTGAATYATCCACTTGAATCTCTTTTTTTTCATTATTGAAAATGGAAAAACCTTTTATTTTCCTTTTGCAACCACTCCAAAACCAGCTTTGAATCACCTTCTACAATCAGCTTTCTGACATTCAGATCTTTTTCCTTTTGCAGTCCTTCCATAACTTCCATAACCTTAGCCGTTAGGGAGTTACCTATTCCAATCAGGCTTGAATAGAGACCAATGGTCTTGCCTTCACTGCCCCTACACAGCCCTCCAATACCAGATGGGCCTGGATTCCCAACAGTACTCCCATCAAAGTTCAACTTAATGTAGTCAAACATTGGAGGAGACCAAGCAGGGCTTATATTAGAATTATGGAAATCAGAACTAGCCACTTCCTTCCATTTGTTCATTATATCACCTGTTGAGAAATCGACAAATATCTTCCTAGATTTTACCCACTGAACCACTCTCACCATAATGGTTTCAATGACATCTTCTCTACTTCTTTCCTTGTCTAGGAATGATCTTGCATTTCTTTCTTCCCATAAAGTGCAGCTCACAGCTGCCCTTACACATCTCCATAATACTCACTCACCCCCTTTTCTTTGGCCATCTCAAGAAAGTAGAAGCAAATAAGCTTTGCACATTAGTCGGGGGAGACCGCCTGCACCCAAGCAACAAGAAAAACCATTCCCAAACAAAGGTTGCAAGAGGGCAGGAAATTAATAAATGAAAGCAAGTTTACACAAAACACACCAGTGTGGGGATAAACACAAATTAGTCCTTTTCCTTTGGAGCAAATTGCAAGTATTAATTCTTTCTAGGAAGACTTCCCAACAAAAACCTCCAATTCTTGGAGGAATGGGATTACCCCAGACTTCCTTAACCGGGAAAGATATCTCTGARGAGTCAAAAGGTTGGATCAGGGCCTTAAAGAAAGAAGCACATGAAAATACACTAGAGGAGGATAGGGTCCAAATACGATTGTCAGGTTTAGAGGAATGCAAATTAATCCCATTAAGGATAKGAATCAAGTCCAGAACCTCATCAATTTCTAAATCCCTCACACCCCTCCTCAATCCCAAATCCCAATCAACACCATTCCTCGAGTTTGAAGGAACCAGAAAAGAGGACACAAGTTTATCTTTATATCTTGATAGGGCAAAAGTAGAAGGGGAATTTTCTTTCAGAGAGAAGTTACCCACCCACACCTGTTCCCAAAATTTTATATGATTTCTAGAATAGAGGTCATACTTGATAAAAGGTAGGAAAGATGGGAGG